GTGATGATGATGATGCTGATGATGCTGATGTTGCTGCTGCTGCTGCTGCATCGATGATGATGATGATGGTGGTGGTGGTGGTGTGGTGATGTGGTGATGTGGTGATGTGGATCAAAGTTCAAGTTAAGTAAAGGAAACAACAGATCAGATCGGAAGGCCAAAGTTGGAAGTTTAGAGTTTCTAGCTTTCAGAGTCGGCATGGGGCTGTTTTGCTCACCCGCAACCACAGAACTGGCGTACCCCATGTGCTGGAAAGTGATGTTTAGATCAAAGTGGGTGTAGTTGAAGATGTTCAGAGGGCATGCGAATTTGAAGATTGATATTTGCCAGGCAGTTAATGCATTCCAATATAGTCCGTGACATTCTCCATACAGTTCCTGAAGTTTTTCCATATAGTTCCTGAGATTTTCCATATAGTTCTTGAGATTTTCCGTATAGTTCCTAGCCAATTTTTTGCAATTTCCAGACCCCGGAACGGCCGCGACGGTTTCTACGGTTTCTACGGTTCCATTTTTGGGCATTGGAGGGGTATGGTTGGCATGTGGCTTTACGGGGCCACAAATTGAGCCGGAAGAGCTTTGAAGAGATCCAGGGATACAGAAGCCGTTTGGGCATGGAAAACCGGGTTTGGAATTTGCCTGGGTTTTGGAATCGGGGGGCACGTTGATTTAAGTCACGGGGCCCTCCTTCCCTGTGCTGTTTTTTCCGGGTGACCCCCCACAGCTACACCAAGAACATCGATGATGCATTCCTTTCATCACTGGCAGGAACCAACTTGCAGATTTGTTCATGTTGCTGATGATTTCCATCCCACCCATATTCTTAAAGGAATTTTGGGTAGGTTGTTGTGGGCTATAATGGGCTATACTATTTTGGCTATACCTCTGAATTATGGTAATTACTATATTATGCGGCCGCGCCAAGACATACATATATCAAAACAACTTAAAAAAACGTCGTACACGAAAAACTTACAACTTGCAGCTTTTAGCTGAAAATTTGAAACTAATATGTTGAGAAAAAAATATTTGGATCATAGATAAAACGAGACACAAACATATGATTTAGGGGTATGGACTGTTCCGTGCTACAACGCAGAAACCGTCGCGACCGTTCCATGGCATATTCAAGATTACAGTCGGAAACCGTCGCGACCGTTCCATGGTATAGCCCTTAAAAAACGGATATAGTCCGGAACCGTCTGCGACCGTTCGGAACCGTTCCTGGAAACTGCAAAAAAGATATAGTGTAGGAACCGTCGCAACCGTTCCACGCTGCATTCAAGATTGCAGTTGGGAACCGTCGCGACCGCTCCCGCAAAACTGGATTCTTACGTTGTTTTAGCCTGAATATTTCCGTATCTATATCTATATATGTTTTGATTTTGCATTAGAATATGTATTTATATATATATACATACATATCATTGTTACATATGTATTTTATATGAATACAGTACATCATTATATGTGTATACAAGTATATACATACGTTATATCATATCTTTTGAAAATGCTAGCTAGATAGATTTTACAACATAAGTCGGCTATTTATAATTCTATGATTTTGGTTCCAACATCATCATTGATCCTGGGGTTTGGGGTATGAATGCCCACATCTCTGTAAGTGTTTGTGCCAACTTAAAAGGCTGAACCTAAGTGCAATTCTTTCAGCACAACCCAGTCTTTTCAAGTCCCTGCATTTCTTTCTTTTGGTTCCAACATATTTGTTTATAGTTCCAATATTTTCCCATATAGTTCCTTTATTTTCCCATATAGTTCCCATATACCCAGGGTGGCCACACACAAATAGGCCATCACTGGTTATAAGGTTTGGTGCAAACCCTGCTATCCCCCCAAAAAAAGTACAAGACCCAAAAATAAAGTACACACCTCAAAATTTTGAGACTTGTACTTTATTTTTTCCGCTTGCTGTGCATTTTACAGCCCAACACTTTGAAAAAATCAAGATGCTGTCCCTGAAGTGAATGATAACTTCATGAGGGTCCTGGACATACAGAATTGCTGGACGCGCTTTCATGTTTATTTTTAATTCCTACTTGTTAACTGAAGAATATGTGAAGGAATCTGCCGTGGTATGTGTTTAAGATAACCCACTGGTTTTGCTGGCCACAGAATGACACAAAATGACAGTGATACTGGCTCTCCTCATATGCATAAGGTGTCAGATTTGTTTCCTAGAGGTTGACCAGAGGAGTTAGGCGCCATGTTTTCTTTCACAAAAAAAGTCTGGCAAGGGCAGCCTCCACAAACATTTTAACTTGAAATCAAGTCTTCCAATTGCTCCCATTCATATTTGTTGCAAACTCTTCTTGTTGAATGTCTTGATGACACGTTTACACTAAAGGCTTCCCAGGCCGTCCCAGCATCGTTAGCGATCAAGTCCATGACTTTTATGGATCGAGAGGGTTTTGAAACAGAAAACAGCACCATCTTTACGGATATTCGCCGTCCATCATTAAAACCCGCAGCCCGCAAAAATAGGGTTTGTCAGTGCACAGCACAGTGATTTGCATGGCATTTGAACGCACAGTCACGGCTTGACTTGCCGTCCCTTGAAGGCTCAAGGGTTTCGTTCATCGCAAAAAGAGGTCGAGCGTGCAGTGCATGCCATGCAGTGCTTTTGAATCTTACCTCAACACTGGTGGCGCGGAGCTGCTGGTTGCGACCAGGGATGACAAGTCGAAGAACGTGGCAGCCGAGAACACCTGATGATCTAGGACTGACTGCAGGGAGTTCTGATAGTCATGAAAGGGCGTCTAGATCCACACCAGGTGATAGCTCAGCTGCACATGAATGGGAAGAGCCTAATCCACCAGATCCTTGGGCGGCTTGGTATAGCAGTAACCAACTGGATGAAGAAGAATACTATGATGATTACTACGAACATGGGACTAGACATGTCAGGGCACCCAGCTCAGGCTGGGATGATTCTAGTTGGGATCGCTATGGAAGCCAGTCTCAGGGATGGTTGACAGATGCACAGCTGCGCAACTTCAACACCGCGGCGGTAGAGCGCATGACGGCTGTGGATGATGGCCGTTGGGTTGGGACTCACTTCAACAATGAGGATGAGAACGGTAGCTATGGCTGGGGCCACGATGAATGGCCACCGAGGAGCTCAGACAAACCGTCCGAGCGCCTGAAAGTCCCGACCTTTGATGGTGGCGGAGAAGAACATGATGTTGGTCATTCGGCCAGATCCTACATACGTCGTGTGCAGGTGTGGCTGCGCTGCACCAAGATGCCGGCCCACCAGAGGGCCTTGGCACTTTACGATGCCTTGACAGACCGTGCTTGGGTCTATGCGGAGGAGCTCGATGTGGACATCCTGGCGTCCGATGGTGGCGTCAGGTATTTCCTTGAATGGGTGCAAACACGTTTCATGGATGTGGAAGTGACAAAGATCGCGCAGATGATGAACGACCTCTTCCGCAAGTGCAAGCGCAGGGGAGGACAATCCGTTAGGGATTTCAATGTGGAGTTCGAGCGCATGGTTTTGCGGTTGCACGAAGTGAAGTGCAACCTTCCACCGTTGATCAAGGCATGGCTTTACTTGGACAAACTGAGGCTATCAGAGCACGAAGAGCTAGCGCTCTTGGCTTCAGTTGGCAATGAGTATGACGTCAGGCGACTCCAACATGCAGCCCTTGTCCAAGATCGCAATGCTCGTCGCAACTCCAATGAGGGCTGGAAGGGCAACAATCACCATGAGACTGGCAAGGGCAGATGGGGCCGTCAGACGGTCCACTTGACCGGCCTGGACGATGGCTCCAGTGGAGACGATGAGGATCCACTGGGCGGCCGTCACCATGAGAGTGAGTCTGACCTGATGGAAGAGAATGTTGCGGAGGCTCAGCACTCGGCATTCATGGCCTATCAGGGCGCCAAAGCAAAGTACAAAGAGGCCATCAAGGGGAGAGGCACAGATCCTGGAGAGCTTGAGAAGAGGGCCAGTGAGCGGCTCCGTCTTGCAAAGCAGCGGTCGTATTGCAGTGCATGCAAGAGACGCGGCCACTGGCATAAGGATCCTGAGTGCCCCCTTCGAGGCCGAAGCGCTGCAGCTGCTTCAGCCCCACGAGATGGAGTTCAACAAGCTCAGATGTGCCACACCGTCAACATGGTGCGCACGTGCCTCGCTGCTGAGGGCCTGTCTGAGACCCACCATTCAAGTGAGCCAGCCGGCTTTTCAACTTGCCATAGTGGACACAGCATGTTCAAAGTCAGTAGTTGGCTATGATTGGTTTGAAGCATTTTGCAACCAGTCTGATTTGCTTGGTCACAGTTTTGAGATTTTGGATGAAACCGAGCACTTCAAGTTTGGTGCTTCCAGGGTGCATCGTTCAGCGTTTTCCATTTGGGCATGGTTCGGCATAGCTGGAAAGTGGGTCGCTGTCAAGATAGCCATTGTCCACTGCAAGGTGCCGTTGCTTTTGAGCCGACCTGCCCTAGCACAGTTAGGCATGACTTTTGATGTAGCACAGCACCAAGTCAACTTGAAGAAGTTGAACGTTTGTGAGATCCCGCTGAAGCAGAGCACTACCGGTCATCCAGCCTTAGTTGTTTCAGATTTTCCGGCTGGCAGTCCTCCAATTTTGGACGCCGCAGCTGGGGACGAAGTGTGGGTGCCCGCTCAGGAGGTATACATGGCTTGCCAGTCCGTGGGTAGGGAGACATCTCTTGCAGTTGAGCGTCCTTCAGAAACTCTCTTCTACCCCAAGAAAATCCCTCTTGAAGTTGAGAACATGTTGCAAACCTCTCCTTTGCCCTGCTCTTCGTTTTTTGCTTGGTGGAGTCATGCGAATCAAAGTCGAGATTTTTGGATTGAAACCGAGAATGAAATGATTAGGGTTCATGTGGTCCCTCGCAAATTCAAGTTTGATCCAACCAAATGGTCCACCAAGAATGTGGAGCAGAAGAGCCAGTTGCTTGCATGTTTAGAGGGCCAACGCATTTCAGAACGGATGTCATGTTTGTCCGATGGAGTGTTTTTTGAAGTCGAAGTTGACTCAATCAATGACGGTGGGGCTGTGGAAGACCGACATGACCAATGGATCGGCCGCAGTCGTTTTCAGAAGACTGCTCGAGCCTTGCCAGATTTCCACAAGCTCGCCGATGTCCAGTCAGCAGAACCTGCAGTCGCCATGGAAGATGCATCGCGACGAGTTGCGGGCGGAGCTGCACAAGCGCCAAGTGCCCTTCCACTCTTCTTGGACGGTGCCGGAGCTTCGAGCGGTCCTGATGGAGACCCGTGCTCAGGACCCAAACTGCCAGAAAGTCACGAACCCCATGAAGGGCATCTCAAAGATGAATCTGAGCGAGCTGACCCAAATGGCTCGCGATGCCCACATCGAGCTTCCTTCGAAGCCCACACGCGGCTGGCTGATCCTGGCTCTTCGCCAGGCCCGCTCCACGTCGGCAGAGACGGTGGTGCCTTTTGGGAAGTTCAAGGGTTGGATGTATCGGGAGATCCCTTTGGGTTATCGGTCATGGGCCATTGCGGAAGTGGAGACTGTGGGGGAGGCAGCGGCTCACCCCGATCTGGTCCGCCTCGCAACTTGGGCCAAGGACAACTTGGAGACAACCGAGGAGGCTGCCAAGCAGACGAAGAGCTTGGCCAAGGACCCAGAAGCAGCTGCGAAAGTTCCGGTGCCCAAGCTCAGCGATCTGGGTTACCGCAGCTCAGGCAGCGATTGGAGCAAGGTGTCGTCGTGTCCGGCACCACGTCGGGCTCGCAACCGGCGAACCCAGCAGGATGTGGAAGAACTGTCCTCGGACATGGAGGAGGAAGAGAAGGGGACGGCCGAGCAGATCGAAGCTTTGGAAAAGAGGATTGCGGCCCTGAAGAAGAAGGCGGCAACCTAGAGGTATTCCTTTGTGGGGAAGAGGAATTCAGTGACGCACTTGAGGACGCCCCTGATGAGTCCTACGTCATGATCGGGGGCTATGAGTCTGAGGATGACGACATGCATGATTGCTTGGAAGCTTTTGAGGATGGGGAAACCACAAAGTATGAGCAGGCCACTGAGGTTCAGGGGGTGCCTGCATATGTCAAGGGAGATTGCTCTAGCAGGTCTGTGAATGACTGCGGCTTGGATCGGGAGTCGAAGAACATTCCGATCACTGAGCCCGAGGGTGTTCTTGTGAATGACGACACTCTTGACATTGATGTGACCCCATCGTATGACCAGGTTTTTGACTATGACACAGTCCCACAGTATGAGCAGAACTTTGCAGGTGTCAAGGTTTCTGACGGCGTCTTCGACAGTCTTTCCTTTTTGACTGACGGCGTCTCCAGCATGTTCTCAAAGGAGAAAGATGGGCATATGGCCGGAGAAAGCCCGGGAGTGGGCAACAATCCCCGGCAGAAGGCCAAGATCGGCATCCGCCGTCGGAGGAGGATGAAAGAGGGCACGCTGAAGTCTTTGAAGCGTGCAGCTGGTGGTTTGGCACAGGTGTTTTTGGCCTGCACTCTTGCGATTGGAGCTTGGGCCCATGAGGTTGGAGTGGAACCCATGAAAGATGTGTGCGCTGTTTTCACACCATCCAGAGACTTAGAACAGCGTCAGGCAAACTCAGAATTGGTCGACTGCCTGGAACTTTTCGCTGGACAAGCTCGTGTCTCCGAAGCTTTTGCCAAGAAGCGTCGGGGTGTCCTACAACCTAGAGACATTCGTTTTGGGCACGACTTTAGAAAGAGCCAGGTGAGGGACGAGATACTGCATGAGATCAAGACCAAACGACCTGGCATGGTATGGATGGCCCCACCGTGCACTTATTGGTGTGGGTTCTCACGTCTCAATTTTAGCCCCCAGGAACGACGACGACTTCGAGCGAAAGAACAAGTGCTCATACAGTTTGTCGACGAGGTGATTGAAACGCAGAACCTCCTGGGGGGCATGGCCATCGTGGAGAACCCAAGAAGCAGTGACATGTGGAGACACTCCGCCCTCCAACGTTGGATCCTGAAGCCCGACATTCACCTGGCCAAAGTCGACCTGTGCGCCTATGGCATGGTCAGCAGTGATCATGCAGTACCTATGCGGAAACCACTTTCTCTTCTTTGCAACAATGGGCGTTTTGCCGAGCACATCACCAAGCTTTGCGATCACAGCCATGAACATCAGACGGTCCAAGGCAATGAGACCGCCAAATCGGCCGTCTACCCCACTGCGTTTGCAAATGCGGTGGTCAGGGCCTACGATGCAGGTCGAACGCCCCAGTTCAAAGAGGTTTTGATGACCGGCGAGGTGATTGAGGACATGGCACCTGAAGAGCCTGCGGGCGCCGACGCCATCTCCTTCAAAGGCAAGGTCAATCCAACAGTGGCCAGCGCATTGAAGCGCATACACCAGAACCTTGGCCATCCCAACAACAGGGATCTGATCAAGCATTTGCGCCTTGGCGGAGCACCAGCCAGCGTTCAGCGAGCAGCTGAACAAATGTCCTGCCGGACATGTGACCGCAGCAGCAAAGCCAAGCTGCAGCGGGTGGCCGCTCCAGTCACTATGCTGGACTTCAACGAGGCAGTTGCAGCAGACGTCATTTGGATCGATGCTGCAGATGAGAAGAACAAGCCGTGCCTCAACATGATCGACCTGGCGTCCACTTATCAGGTTGTAGTCCCGCTGGTCAGCACGAAATCAGAGGACCTGGCCAAAGCCTTTGTCAACGGCTGGATCAGCTGGGCCGGGGCCCCAAAGCACCTCTTGATCGACCTTGAGACCGGGTTCAAAGACAAGTTCCTCACCATGCTGGATCAGCGCTGCGTGGTAGTGCAATGCGCCGCCGGGCAAGCTCACTGGCAAAATGGCGTGGCCGAGAGACATGGTGGAAGTTGGAAACTGATTTGGGCCAAGCTGGTGGAAGACCACCTCGTCATGGCCGAAGAGATGGATGAGGCCATTGCAGCGGTCAACGACTCCAAGAACCAGCTTAGAAACCGTAGCGGCTATAGCCCACGACAATGGGTGTTTGGGACCAACAAGCGAGAGACGGCAGACCTCTTTGACGGTGACCATGAGGCAGCAGCCAACTTTGCCGCCAGCACGGACGCCAAGTTCAGCAGGACTCACATCTTGCGCAATGGCGCCCGTATGGCATTCTTCCAGGTCCAGAGCAAAGAGGCCTTGAGCAGAGCTGTAGCTCACAAGCCTCGGGTGGAGCCGCGCAGCTTTGAGGTGGGCGAGCTCATCTACATCTACCGGGAGACAAAACAAGGCCGTAGCAAACGACCTACTGCCTCTTGGGTTGGTCCTGCCGTTGTCATTGGCAGAGAGGGTCAGAACTATTGGGCAGCAAGAGGTGGCAGATGCCTCTTGGTGGCTCCTGAACATGCCCGAGAAGCCAATCACGAGGAAGTGAGCGAGATGCTCAGATTGAAAGCCGCCATGAAGGAGCTCAAACAATTCATCCAAGCACCGGATGATGACACTTATGAGCCCATTGACGATGGTGATGCACCTGGCCCATTGGAAATGGAGGTCGACGATGGCGGCTCCTCACATCAACCTCCCAGACCCGACAGCTTACTGGACATGGCGGCCAATCGGGAAGACATGATCCGAACATCCGTCAGAAGAACCAAGCTGTTGGATGATGTCCCTGAAGGCATCAAGAGGGCAAGGATTGCCACCCCTGCTCAAGCCTCTCATCAAGCCTTTATGATGAAACACTGCTCATCTGCCAAAGCTCAAGAGAAACAGCTGGAGAAAGAGCTTCCTTGGGGATTGATCCCACCTGATGAGAAGCCACTCTACATCGCTGCAGAGGACAAACAGTGGAAAGAACATGTTGATTTTGGTGCGGTGAAACCTTTATCCATTGAAGAGAGCGAGAGGGTGCGGAGAACCGTGGACCCCAGCCGGATTCTGAGATCCCGCTTTGCCTACAAGGACAAGAACCACGCAAAGCGGAAGAAAGATCCCACTCTACCATGCCGGCCTAAAGCACGACTTTGTGTCGCCGGGCAACATGATCCCGACCTCGGACGACAAGACATGTCGGTGGATGCTCCAACTACGGGCAGGCACAGCATTCTTTTGGCTCTGCAGTTAGCCCTGTGTCGAGGCTGGCTGGTTTCTGTGGGCGACATCCGAGCTGCGTTTCTCAATGGCATCCCAGCACCACGGCAGCTATATTTCAGCCAGCCCAAGAGGGGCATCAGGTCTTTAGACCCCAAACAATTGATCGAAGTGGTGAAGGGAGTTTTTGGTTTGAGCACAAGTCCCAAACTTTGGTGGTTGAAGCTGTCTCAAGACCTCAAGACTTTGGAGATCGTTTGGAAGGGTCGGACCCTGAAGGTCGAACAGAACCCAGTTGACCCATGCGTTTTCATGTTTAGGGACTTTGAGCATGATCAAACACTTGGACTCCTCCTTACCCATGTCGATGACCTGATGCTGATGGCTGATGGTGATCTTTCCTGGCACATCCAACAGAAACTTCAGGAGCGGTTCCCAGTAGATGAATGGCAATCTGGAGACTTTGAATACGTCGGGTGCGAATACCACTGCACTCCTGACGAGATCCAGATTCACCAAAGCAGTTATGTGGAGGGCCGAGTCAGCAAGGTCACTATACCAAAAGATGGTTTGGTTTCTCGCGATGCGCGAGAAGAGAATCGCACTTCCATAGGGTCTCTTTCCTGGCTGGCCAAACAAACAAGACCAGATTTGCAATTTGCTGTCTCTCAGGCTCAGAAGAAGCAGAATGACCCCAACTTGGAAGACCTGAAAGCCACCAATAGAGCTGTGGCTTCAGCATCTCGACACCAGGACAAGGGCATCGTTCTGAAAAAGATGAATGAATCGGACATCATCTTTTTGGCCTACCACGACGCTGCGTGGGGCAACGCTGATGTGGATGATGGTGACCCTCAATGGTTGGGTGGTCATCAAGTTGCAACACAAATTGCCACTCTGACCTTACTAGCAGAGAAAAGGTGTCTGCTGAATCAGAAGGGCAAGTTCAGCGTCATGGATTGGAAGAGCAAGGGGTGCCAGCGAGTGTGCAGGTCAACCTTCGCTGGTGAGACTATGGCCTGCTGTGAGGCTACTGAGTCGACCATCTACTTGCGGGGGCTTTACCTCTCCATGATCCATGGCAGAATCATCCCCGAAGCGGAATGTGGAAGGCACATTGAGATGCACTTTGTGACAGACTGTAAGAGTTTGTACGATCACATACACCGAGAAGGCATTCCGAAAGCTCCTACCGAGAAGAGACTGGCGATTGACCTAGCAGGGCTTAGGCAGATCCTTATGGTTGAAGCTGAACACCAATGGCGACGGCTTCATGGGCAAGATGCGAAGCTCACTCCGCAGAGGCCATGTCGGCCTCCGATCCACTGGCTCCCTACTGATGAACAACTTGCCGATGTGCTGACAAAGATGATGTCAGCGGATGAGTGGTGGAACGTCATTTTTGCGGGTGAAATTCAATTGCCTTTGAAATTATCTCAGGCCAACAAATAGAGCCAGAGATTTTGATACCAATGTCAGTGCACAGCACAGTGATTTGCATTGCATTTGAACGCACAGTCACGGCTTGACTTGCCGTCCCTTGAAGGCTCAAGGGTTTCGTTCATCGCAAAAAGAGGTCGAGCGTGCAGTGCATGCCATGCAGTGCTTTTGAATCTTACCTCAACAGGGTTCGTTTCAAATCAGCGGAACAGCGAATTCTGTCGTCTCAAATGGTCCTAGTTCCCTAGACTTGGATTCTATTTTGGGGGGCCTTCGAAAAAAATAAAGTACGAGGCAAAAAATAAAGTACACCTGCGAAGGTCATGTGTTCGTGTGCAAGGCACCTAGAATGTCAGCATGTTTGAGAGAGTAAAACCATAGTGTTGATAAAATTACGTTCTGAAACAGTGAACAAGGTTCCGCATGTGTATGTGTGTGTGTGTGCGCGCGCCGTTTTTGTTTCTGGCAGTGTGCTCTGAGTCTTCGGGATGTACTATCACAAGGCTGTAGTGCTGTGCATACTTTTCCAGTTGACGAGGCTTTCAATTGTGAACCAGTTATTATTAGGTTTATGTTTAAGCTTATTTTTTTTGCTGAAAAATATTCAAAGGGATCTGCATGGTTTAATTGTCTGTTCAAGATAGCCCACAGGTTTCTCTGGCCACATATTGTATATCTAGGTTGCAGATTTGTTTCCTAGAGGTTGACAAGAGGAGTTAGGCGCCATGTTTTCTTTCACAAAAAAAGTCTGGCAAGGGCAGCCTCCACAAACATTTTAACTTGAAATCAAGTCTTCCAATTGCTCCCATTCATATTTGTTGCACACTCTTCTTGTTGAATGTCTTGATGACACGTTTACTAAAGGCTTCCCAGACCGTCCCAGCATCGCTAGGGATCAAGTCCATGACTTTTATGGATCGAGAGGTTTTTGAAACAGAAAACAGCACCATTTTTACGGATATTCGCCGTCCATCATTAAAACCCACAGCCCGCAAGAATGGGGTTCGTTTCAAATCAGCGCCGAACAGCGAATTCTGTCGTCTCAAAGGGTCCTAGTTCCCTAGACTTGGATTTTATTTTGCGGGGCCTTCGAAAAAATAAAGTACGAGGCAAAAAATAAAGTACACCTGCGAAGCCTGTTTATGAAATTTAGCAATTTTCAGCACTAGTTTTCATTTGTGTTCTTTGTTTGTTCCTTCTTTTATCTTCTTCTCTTGCTTTCTCACAAACTGTCACTTCTTCTCTTTTCATGTTTTCCTTTGTTCACTCCATCCAAATCAAGCCGTTCTGGCAGAATGATTGTTTGTAATGCAAAGTAGTGCTGGCAGAAGAGCTGTCTGCAGTGTGAGGGGTGGGCTCTCTCGTGATTGTTATGCTGGTACTTTGTATCCTATGAAGGCAACCCCCTTGTGTCTTGATGGTTGCTGCGACCCTGCTGTGACCCGGTCGTGGCGACTTTTCCGCAAACGGTTTATCCACATTCAAGCAAATTTGTTTTGACTTCAGCCCCCGACTGTACTTTTGCATTGCCATTCAGGTGACACATAGTCAGGCCCGATGTTTTCTTTCCCTCTTGCTTTGTTTCACCTGTCACTGTTGTTCCTGGTCATGCTTGGGCAACTCTGCAATAGCCTTACTTTTCCGACAATTTCTTAACATTTTGAAACGCATTGTCGCTTCACCTTCTTTTTGGCCAGCATCGTCAAGGTGACTTGTGAAGATATGTGAAACAATTGTGTTAAACATTTTCATTTCAATGGCTAAGCAAACATAGTTCCGGCGGTAGATTTGCGCGCGTTACGAAATTCCCCGGAGGATACACAGTTGCCCGTTGGTTATCCCATGTTTTCCCACCGTACATAAAAACGGAGGAGCACTGTTCGCAGCCAGGTGGTAACAGCAGCTGGGATGTGGGCCATGGAATCTGCGTTGTTAGACTAAACAAAGGAACCCATGCAGGGTGTGACAATCAGTTTTTCCAGTAGCTCCAGCGGCCCGAACTAAAAGAGAGGCGCGCTGGTTGCGTATGCAAGGGTTTGACGCATCAATCATTCACAGTTTTCTTATACCCCATGCCTTAATTTTGTTTTCCAGGGTATCAACTAGGCTATGGAATATTTGTTTTTGGAATAATTTTTAAGGAATAATTTTTTCAAGGGGGATGTATACGATACCGCATGTCGGAACTTGAAAATCATGATCCCCCCCCTCAAGATACATAATTATATTTTGGAATAATTTTCTATAAAATAAAATATCTTAAAACAAGTTAAAACATCTCGAAGCAGCCTATGCGTTCCTACATTTGGCTTGGCCCTTCCAAAAGCAATTCCTAGCTTGGCGGTGTTTGCCTGAAAGTTTTTTGATAGAAATGCCAACTGCAGTTGCTTGAGGCATCATGCAGTTTGGGTAATTGCTGCCAACCTTTTTTTGCAGCATACTTGCAAGCACAACTAGTGTCCAACGGACAACCTTTCTTTCACGGTCCTTTTTCTCGAGAGTTCTTTAGATGGTAATGAAGGGAATGTTAGGAAAATGGCTAGGAAAAGGCCAGGTTGAGTGCCATTTTGTGGGCTTTCCTGAGAGAGAAAGTATTCTAGGGGTATTGGAGGTGCCTAGTACCCCTCAAAAACCGAAGTGGGCAGTTAATCACCAATCTAACCCAGAAACTTGGAAGAATTGTCGAAAACCAATGAAAACAAAACATTTCCCACTCATTCCCACTATGCTACAATCACAAAACAAACCCGGAAATTTACAAAAAAAAATAAAAACCAGTGACAACCAAATATTAATTTTTCCCACTCAATTCCCGCTAAGGCCACCACCACCAAACTAGCCCAGAAACTCGCAAAACATCCAAAACCAATCAGAACCATGTTCAACCAGTGGGTTGCTGAGAGGGCATTTGTTTAAACATATTATTCTGATTCTTCTTGATCCGATCTGATTATGCTTAAAAATTGCGTAAATTTGTGCCCGAACTTTGCAAGAAGGGAAACCTTTTTCGGCCGTTTGCGCGCAGCTGCTTACGATTACTTGCGTCTGGCTAGAAAAAGACTATGCCGGGTATCATTTTGATGGATATCTCAGTGACCTCTTGGAACAATAATATTTTTTTGAACTCAAGGTATGCCGGAATAATACTTTATTATTCTGATGTATGTTGACGGGGGTATACCCTTAAGGCATCCCTCATGTTTTCTTTACTTGTGTTTTTGTTTTGTTGGGACGTCTGAACCTTAAAAATGGGGTCCTGCAAATACGCAATGAAGGCGGTTTTCGTCCGAACCCAGGACACGGATTTTGAGAAAAATCTGGGACGACTTCATTTATGTAATGTGAGACACGATTAATATAAGGGAATCCTTCAAACACTCCACAGCTATCCATAATGATCGCTAATTAACCATGGCAATCCATGCGTAGGTAACCATAGCTGCATACAGTTCAGCCTGAAGCATCACTAGGCCCCAAACGTTTCTGTAGGTGCTCTTGGGGACAATGGGGATATAGATTTGTTTTCCTCTTGGAAATGGACGCATTTTTTACCTTCCTTTTACCAGAAACAATTGCAAGCCTTCTTACACCTCAATTTCGGAAAATCAATTATTCAAACTCCATTTGTCAATTTTTATTTGAATAGATTTCGTACTTGCAAAGTATATTCATCCAAAATATCCAAGATCATGGGGCCATTGTAGTTCCAGCTGTCCTGAACTGAAATATTTTCAAAAAATGCGCTATTTACTGGGCCAAAGTGGTCGCCCAATTTGGATTCATTGACTCATGCTGGAAGATCATGATGGGCATGCAAGTTGGGAAACGAACCAATATTGTACCGTTTTTGGGAGTCCAATCAAATCAAGTATCGTTTGATTGGGCGACCAAATCCAAAGTTGTCTTCACTTTTTCGGTACCAAAAAAAACAGTACCATTTTTTTCGCGATAGGGTTGTGTTATGCCCGCCGTCCGAAACATATAAGTTCATGGCATGCGATCACCAGCCTATCTGAACAATAACAAAAAGAAATGAAACACATGGGTTTGCGCTATGACACCTTTCGTGTACGTGATATGCACAAGTATGTCATCACGTATACAGTTGCGCACCAGCAATACACAAACAAATGCGCGAATTGCAGCGCAAAGATAAATTCGGAAATAATTGGGGAAAACGAACGCCTTCCAATGATAGAGTGAGTAAGGAGGCAGCAGATTTCCTACGTCTCCTGGCACAAGCTCGCAACCGCTCAATCGTCCCAGCCTTACGAAAGGCAGCTGTCCAAGCCTCCATAGCTCGCTGGTCCGCCATGCTCACACTGGCAGCACAAGGACAGCCTCACCTCATCTCACCTCCAAAATCCGGCATCACACACCACCCCTGATGGTGACATGCCACCCCTGAGCACCCTGCTTGAACACCACCCTGGAGCCCCACCCCCGGCATCACGCCTCGCTCTTCGACCTTGAGGGGGGCCCCGCGGCTCTGGATTTATAGCCGCCCCACCCCAACAAATTATACAAATTTGCCGAGAGACAGCCAGAACCAAGACGGTCCCAGTGCTGAGATGCTTGCAGAAAAAGGTGTGTGGGAAAAAAAATCGATGGGGCTGACTTCCCCACCCCCTATAATCGATATTGCGGGGGGAGAAGGAAGAACATTTTTCATACATTTCCTGTCCAACGGGCAACCTTTCTCTCACGGTACTTTCTCGAGAGTTTTGGATGGCAATGAAATGAAGGGAATATGGAAGAAATAGGGGGAAACACGCAAGGTTAGGAACATGCCTAGGAGAGGGCCAGGTTGAGTGCCATTTTGTGGGCTTCCCCCTGGGGAAAAATTATTCCAGGGGTATTGGAGATGCCTGGCACCCCTCAAAAACCAAAGAGGACAGCTGCCACAATCACCAAACATCACCAAACTAGTTCAGAAACTGGCAAGAATTGTCAACAACCAATGAAAACTAACCATTTCCCCCTTTCCCAGCCAACCAAGGCTCCTTGGATTA